GTAGTAGTAGTAGTAGTAGTAGTAGTAGTAGCAATCGTAGTCGTAGTCGTAGTCGCATTCGTACTCGTAGTCGTAGTCCGCCCCAACCCCAGCACGCCGTGCTCCCCCCGTTGCCCGCTGCTTACCTGATTGCTTGCTGCCCTCCCCCTTTCCCCCTTCTTTGCTCCTCCCTGTCCTCCCTCCTCTTGGGGACCCGGAGGCCGAGTGCTGGCGCGAAGTGTCCGGCCGCGCGCCCGAGCAGGCGCGGGCGCTGCAGTCCTTCCTCCTCCTCCTCCTCCTCCTCGTCCTCCCTGCCCCTCTTCCCGGCCGCGCTTCACGATTTTAGCTGGTATGCTAGTGTTGCTTTTGCGCGGATGGAGGGCTGCCCCTTCACAGCGTGGAGCCGCCTGGGCATCCAGCTTGGTGGCGCGTGCGGAGGTTTGACTGTCTCGCCCTGTCCTCGTCCTTCTTCTCCTTTTCCCTTCTTTTCCCCCTCGTGCCGGCCTCGTCTCACGATTGTTGGTGGCACTGCGAATGGTTCGCTTGCTTGGGCCAGGGGCGCTCGCCCGCAACCCTGTGACTTTTTGAAGTATATATATATATATACATATATATATATATATATGTGTGTACGTATGACACAAAAAACAATTAGAATGGGCTTCCAAATGGAGTCCAATAAGATTCCGAATATAATGGGCACCCTGTCGGATTACAGCAATATTCCGATCGCAATAGGATTCCACTTGGTTCACAAGGGGATTCCGCTTACCATCAGATTCCACTTGGATCGCGATTACAATAGGATTCCGTGTGGCTTCCAATCGGATTCCGATTGCAGTACGATTCCAATAGGATTCCAATAGGAATCCGATTACACCAGGAATCCGATGACATTTGGATTTCGATCACACTAGGGATCCGACTACATTAGGAATCCGTATCCATTAGGGTCTCGATTTGATTCGGATTCCGATTCCATTAGGATTCCGATTACAATACGATCCCACCCAAACCAAAACCCAAAGTTCAGTGGCCATAAGTCAGGTGCGACCCTAGTAGTATTAGTAGTTGTAGTAGTAGTAGTAGTAGTAGTACTAGGAGTGGTAGGAGTAGTAGGAGTAGTAGTAGAAGTAGTAGTAGAAGAAGAAGACGAATAAAAAACAAGGAGAAGATGAAGAAACAGACGAATAATAATAAGAAGCAACAGAAGAACACGAATATCTTAAAAAAGAAGAACACGTACTAGCATTAGTAGTAGTAGTAGAAGTAGTAGTAGTAGTAGTAGTAGTAGTAGAAGTAGTAGTAGTAGTAGTAGTAGTCGTAGTCGTAGTCGTAGTCGTAGTGGTAGAAGTCGTAGTAGTGTTAGTAGTAGTAGTAGTAGTAGTAGTAGCCGTCGTAGTAGTAGTAGTAGTAGTAGTAGTAGTAGTTAGTAGTAGTAGTAGTAGTAGTAGTAGTAGTAGTAGTAGTAGTAGTAGTAGTAGTAGTAGTAGTAGTAGTAGTAGTAGTAGTAGTAGTAGTAGTAGTAGTAGTAGTAGTAGTAGTAGTAGTAGTAGTAGTAGTAGTAGTAGTAGTAGTAGTAGTAGTAGTAGTAGTAGTAGTAGTCGTAGTAGTCGTAGTCGTAGTCGTAGTCGTAGTCGTAGTCGTAGTCGTAGTAGTCGTAGTAGTAGTAGTAGTAGTAGTAGTAGTAGTAGTAAGTAGTAGTAGTAGTAGTAGTAGCAGCAATCGTAGTCGTAGTCGTAGTCGCATTCGTACTCGTAGTCGTAGTCCGCCCCAACCCCAGCACGCCGTGCTCCCCCCGTTGCCCGCTGCTTACCTGATTGCTTGCTGCCCTCCCCCTTTTCCCCCTTCTCTGCTCCTCCCTGTCCTCCCTCCTTTTGGGGACCCGGAGGCCGAGTGCTGGCGCGAAGTGTCCGGCCGCGCGCCCGAGCAGGCGCGGGCGCTGCAGTCCTTCCTCCTCCTCCTCCTCCTCCTCCTCCTTGTCCTCCCTGCCCCTCTTCCCGGCCGCGCTTCACGATTTTAGCTGGTATGCTAGTGTTGCTTTTGCGCGGATGGAGGGCTGCCCCTTCACAGCGCGGAGCCGCCTGGGCATCCAGCTTGGTGGCGCGTGCGGAGGTTTGACTGTCTCGCCCTGTCCTCGTCCTTCTTCTCCTTTTCCCTTCTTTTCCCCCTCGTGCCGGCCTCGTCTCACGATTGTTGGTGGCACTGCGAATGGTTCGCTTGCTTGGGCCAGGGGCGCTCGCCCGCAACCCTGTGACTTTTTGAAGTATATATATATATGTGTGTGTACGTATGACACAAAAACGATTAGAATGGGCTTCCAAATGGAGTCCAATAAGATTCCGAATATAACGGGCACCCTGTCGGATTACAGCAAGATTCCGATCGCAATAGGATTCCACTTGGTTCACAAGGGGATTCCGCTTACCATCAGATTCCACTTGAATCGCGATTCCAAAAGGATTCCATGTGGTTTCCAATCGG